GAGATTTTTAAATTCGACTCATTTCTTCAAAAGCTGATTTCATCGTCTAGACTAGCTCCCGAGGCTGAAGATAGCGCAGACTCGGACGAATGCTACCACGGCATGGAGAATATGCCATCGTTGTCGTCGCGCAAATCGCGCCGGACCCCGCAGATGTGGCGCGATTCATGGGCGGGAGGTCGGAAAATTCTCAAGTCGAACGGAATGTGTGGACAGACTATATTAATCTGAAACCTCTCGCTTAAACGTGGGGCATCGTCGCTATTTTTTCGTCACGTCATGGTGAGCCATCCAATTTCCAGTCTGGTTTTGCCCAATTGATTCTTTTTGAAGTTTTAGACTTTTGTAACGAGTGTCGACATCGGACTAGACGCGACGAGGCCCACGGGCGAGAAGCTCAACGACGAAGAAACGCGTATTCTCGGTGTTCGAGAAACTCGCTGAGCAGTTTACGAAAAGTTAGGTGGCAGTCGCCTGATGAGAAGGAGAAGGGCGTCGGCGCGCCGCCCTCTTGCCCACTACACTGAGCCCCGCTGCATCCGTGCGGGATGACGTGCTGATGCACCAGGGGGCCGTTGCAGAAGAAGGTGAAGAGCGAGAGGGAGATCGGCGATATGTCGTTGAGTGTGATTGCCAAGGCTATGAGGGAGGATGACGGTGTTCCGATCGAGAACAACCATGCAGTATCATAACTCGTTTACTGGGTTTTGACTTGTGTCCGCGCAGTTCCGCGACGCCTCTTCTCGGTCGCAGGGCGTGGAAGTAGGTGTCCAGCTTCAGCACGATGTTTGAGCATTGTCGGGGTCATCATAGTTTCTTGGACGGGTGAGTGTGGTTCAGCGTTCAGTGTGATTCGTTAGCTAACATCAATGGCCGTCAGATATTATTTTTATCGCCTAATAGCCGAGTATGCTGTACCATCGACACCTCGGTTACAATCTTGGCTCCCGCGATACGATACTTTGACGCTAGGCCGGTCGAGCTATCTTCCGACGACACCTGCACGTCAGAAATCCTCTTTTGAGGATATTAATTCTGAGTGGAAACCATGGTCATTAATATTGATACCCATAAGGTAAGAATCTGTTTACATTCAATCTATTCTTACTGACAAACATACGCCACCTTTACAGCGCAGCGACCAAGCGGAGGCAGTCATCCTACACCACGACATCATCCACAACCCGCGACCGTGTTCCACTTTGAGCTGCAGTAGATTCGGGACCACCGGCCGGCACATCGAGGACCAGCTGCGCCAGTGGAACAAGACAATCGAGCGCTACGGGCTGAAGCTCGTCGAAGCCTACGTAACGCAGATCAGCGACATACGCGACAGGAATGCGTTCCAGTCGCGCTCCGTGCGGCTCGCCGTCCCGCCTCCAGCCGGGCCAGACCTCCACCTGCGCGTGCCCGAAGGAACCCACACGGACGCATACGCGCTTCTCCGTCGGTTCGGGCTTATTCTGGACGTGGAAGCGTCGGATCTCTATCCGGACGAGGTGGGAGTACTCGCAGTTCATCCATCGGTCGGGGGTGGCGTTCATTCAGCTCAGGGTGGGACGGAGGGGTTCCTATGGGCGAGAGGGAAAGAGGAGAAGCGCCGGGCTGAGACGTTGAGGGTCGATTGGACGCATTGTGTTCGATCGGCGTGTTGGAGGACTTGTATAGGAGGAGGTCAAGCCAACGCCTCCTGAACCTCGGCTACTGGACTATGTAGCGCCACACTCATTGACTTCTGCATGGCACCTCATTTCAATTTGTTATCTCAATTTTGCTGTTATTGGAGTAGTACATTTATCTTTCTCAAACCTCAAAGAGCTACGATCAGAAGCCTTTTACTTAGTCTGTACTATAGTAGTTTGTAGGTACTAAGATAGTCTCTAGAGCTCATGCCCTCACCATCGTCGACATTGCTTGTGTTCGTAATGAATAGGTGTAGGTATTCGGGCGCACCTACAAGCGTTGTGCATCAAAGTCTGACTGGACTGGAACACGAGGTGGATATAAAGCAAGTTACTGATGATGAACTGTTCAAAGTCAACAAGGAGGAAAGTAGAAAAAAGTTCTAACCCCTTAGTACTAGTAGTACTAGGTACTTGATAAGTCAACTAGGCATGAACAGTGCAAAATTGTCTCCGCACATGCAGACAACCGGCCTGACTTGAACAGGCATCCAAGTCACGATCAGATGTGAGTGCTTGTGCTCTACGAGCTGAGCTACAGTTGTATCCAGAGTGGTCCTAGTCAAATTGTTCATCGCGACATGTCAAATCCAGTGACTGAAAGCAGTTCACTGATACCACCCTAATACATATCTTCGAAAGACTTGACCTCAGAGCATCACTAAGCAGTTCGACGTGTCGCTGAAGAAGCTTCGGACCTACACAAGGAGAAAATCGAGACCGCGCCGAGTGTGGACGTCTTCGCATAAGGTCTGGATCTTGAAAACGGAAGAGCGGCAGTACTACGCGTCCTCGTTGTGGCGCGTCGTCCAGATGTGGAGTGACGCCGCCAGAGCCGTTGGCCAAATGATTATGTCGGTAAAGTGAGAGAAAGAAAATTGTGTTGGGGACATCGGGTGATCCTAATGGTCTTGACTCTTCAGCTTATCGGAATGAGTTGACATACATACACTGAGCGACAGTGCGACTTGGTGGTGTGAGCATTGAGGGTACCGTTCATTCTTGAGCCGCGCGCGGTCCGCCACGAAGCCTCGGCCCTCCAGAACTTCGTAATTTGAAGCGCATAGAAAAAACATACTTTGAGATTGCAGAAACACAACCGGCCTGAGTCGAACAGGCGTACATAGACATGAGCATGTTCAATTGTGCTTTACCACTAAGCTACGGTCGTGCATAAAGTGCTTCGTGTCCCGTGTCTGAGAAAGAATCAGAAGAAACCATTTAGACTAAAATCGTACTGTAACCAACTTTCCGCTCCAAGAGCTACTGCCGGAAGTAACAATGGCGGCGAAGCACTGTATATGCATGCGCAGTTTCGTCTCTGGTGCTGACATTTGTCAGTACCGTCGTGTGTATGCTGTACACTGCATCAAGCTTCCGAAGATCTGTTGAAAGGTAATTTGTCCAATCGGAGGCGATAGTCTCCATCCGCTAGTCTTGAAGCAAAGCCATTCTTAAACTCTTCCTGATGGGTCGAAGAACTATTCACGTTCAATGTATAAAATTACAACAACTCTGGAAATGGCATGTAAGAATCACCAAGAAACAAATTGCAAGTTGGTAAGCATACCTAGCAATCCTCATTCCTCCTCATCGTCGGTCAGAAGCAGCCGCTTCGCCTTTCGAGGATGCACTACCTCCTCCTCCTCGTCCTCCAAGACTGGCGGCGTCTTTGCAACTTTCAACACAGGCTTGGGTCGCGGTCTGGGTTTCGGCGGCGCCTCCGCCTGCTCCTCATTATCATCATCCGCGTCCGAATCCGCCGCCATCTCCACATCCGGGTCACTCGCCGGTGCAGTCGACTTGCGCTTCTTCCTCTTCGCGCCATCGCCCTCCGCCTTCTTCTTCCTCTTCTTCGTCCCATGCGCGCGCATTCCTCCGGCCGCTCCGCGTACACATTCGCCGGCTTCTTCCTCGACAACCGCCGGTCCTGCTCCTGCTTCAAGAACACGTCCATATCGCCGTACTCCTCATCACTATCCTCGATGAACTGCGCGCTCTTATACTGCTCTTTCTCCTTCTCCTTCCGCTTTCTCTTCTCCGTCGCCTCTGCATCGTCTCGTTTTCGCTTTGTCTTCTTCGTCTTCGTCTTTGTCTTTTTCTTTCTCGTCTTGCCGCCTTCTCCATCGGAAACCTCTTCATAGTTGCCTTCCCCATCCGAATCCGAGGACGAAGACGAACTGGCAACCTTTCGTCGCCGACGCGTCGTCTTGCTGACCAGCTCCTCGTTAATTTCGATAGGCTTCTCCAGGAACTCGGTCACAACCGAGAGGTACTTTTCCGCATCGTACCCTCGGGAAAACTCCATTGCAGCTCTCCGTCGACGCCCTCTTCGTCAATCTTGAATCCGCAAAGTCGGAATACGAGCTTGAGATGGGCGTTCTTCGTGACTGCTTCTCCTCGCTCGTCGTTTGTGATTGGAACAACGAATCCGCCGTTGTCCATCTTCAGCCAAGCAACTGCCTGAGTCAAAAGCTGCAAGAGAATTAGAAACATCGATATGCGCGCAAGGGCACCCACCTCTTTAACCCACTCCGCCAGCTCAGAATCCTTCCCTTGGAGAGCCTTCAACGCGATGCCCATCTGTTCCTTCCAACTATAGCCGTCCTTGACGTGGAGCTCCTTCTCCACAGCAATCTTCTCCTTCCTCTGTCGCTTCTCCTTCTTCGGCGCCTCCCAGCTGGAAAACTGCTTCCAGTTGCCCCTAGTGCGCGGAAAGAATGCTTCCACAGGTAATAAGTCGTACTCCGCGACATCTTTGAAGAACTGGCGAAGGACAAAATGTATGAATTTAACAAGGTCCTTCTCTTTGGGCAGCTCGCGGAGGAGCCGCTGGAAAAGAATGAGGGTAGAAACGTTGAAATAGAGACCTTCCGCCTTGAGCTTGACCACTTGTCGGTGCATGAGGGAGAGCACGTATTTCATTGGCTTTGGCGTCGTGGAGAGGTGGGCGAGCAAAGCAGCTGTAATTTCGGGAGTGACGAATTTCTGCAACGAACTAGTTAGAAGATGGTTTCGACAACAGAAAAAAACCTACACTTTCAAACGCTTCAAAGTTCCAATTAATTTCGCCCTCGCCGCCTTTCTTTCGGCGGATCATCTTGTCGCTGCCCTCAAGCACCCGCAACAGCTCATACGCCAGACGAATGCCGCCGTCAATCCTCAGCTTAAGAGCATCAAAGGAGATATCCAGCGTTTCACCGTTATAAACCAGCTGCCGCACAAACGTGTCTTTGTCCTCGAGCTGCTCTATCACCAGAATTAACTGCGTAAGCGCGCCAACGCCAGCTTTCACCTCGCCAAGGCGTTTCGGCTTGTCATCGAGCGCCTCTCGGATGCGGCGCAGCACCCAAGCGACCCATGTGCGCTCTGTGACCTCGGCAATGAGACCCAAGTCTCTCTCCGGTCGCGACAGAAAGAAAACCAGAACCCATGTCGAAAAGCACAGAAGCCGAAGGTGGTCGCCTTCATTAATCTTTGGGCGCTCTGCACGTATGTCCTTGATGATCTCGCTGATGAAGGGGTTGAAGGCACCCTCAAGAAATCCGGTTATGAGCTCGCGGAGAGCCTTGTCCGCTGAGGGAGTAAGCATCTCTTCGACTGGGACCTCCCGCGGAGCGCGCGCGCGCGCTTTTTTGGAGAGATCCCAGAGGGAAGTCGCAGACGTTTTGGGATCGACGGCTTGTCCACGATGTAATACGAATGGCTTTGATGCTGCGCTGTTTTTTAGCGTCACCTGGATGGTGGTTCCGAAACGGGAATGCCGTGAAGCGGCGGGCTTCCTCTTGAGCTCAGCGTCAGCCGCCAGGAGGTTCTTGAGAGAGGATTTGGTAGTTTCGGTTACGGCTGGGGGAACGAATCGCGTAAGGAGGTACAAGGTTTCGAGCACCACGGTGTTGAAGGAGGAGAACAGAGGGTCATGCGAGGTGTTCGCGGCAATGGTGAGAAGGAGATCCGTGGCATGGGTGGCCCGCAAGCGCATGATGTAGGATGAGCTTTCGCTCTTGATGAAGGCCAGGTTTCGGTAGAGATGCAATATAACGTTAATGACCTGCCCGTCGCGTGGGGAACGCTCTTTCGCCGGTTTGGCGAGGGGTGGGAGGAGGATAGCAAAAATCGCGTCTAGCACCTTGGGTTCACAGAGCGCGGTTTTGTACGCGTCGTGTGCAGCCAGGAGATGCGTGTACTCTGGCCGTGCGTCTGCATCTTCTTCATTCTCGTCCAATTCCTTCAGCTCGGCAGCGACGTCCACTGGCCAGGTCATGGCAGTGATTAAATCCACGGTCGCCACTGCACGCTTGTCTTCTGGACCAAGTACCAGTAGCAGGGGATAAGATCTTTGATCATAGTGCGCGCCTCCCATAGCATTCGCGCGACGGTGTCGTCGTCCTTGCGCCACAGGCGCTTCAAATCCTTAAGACACGCATACGCAGAGTCTCCGGGCTGGTATGGTGTCCCTCCTCCGAGCGCGTCGACGACCCGCTTGACTAGCGGTCGAAAGATCGCGTATTCCTCGGGCTCTTTGTAGTTGCCATCTATCTCGACCACCTCCTGCTCGTCGTCGTCAGAGATGTCAATAACCTCGGCGTTGTCGTCTGAGATGTCGAGGACGTCGTGCTCGCCCGCCATGGACGGTGATGGTGGTGGTGGGTAAAGAGGAACAGGGTCACGTTGACCGTCACAGGCGCGCCGTCACCGATCACCATCCTTGCTTCAAGCTTCAAACACCCACCCTCCAGCATTCAACATCCGCTATAATTTCGAGAATTGTTTATAACAGCTGTCCATTATTGGGAGTTCAGCCCCAAGGAGCTTGAAGATGGCTCTCATCATGTTCTTCCTGCTTTACTAAGTACTTGCTCGTAAGTAGTTCTACAATGTATCCTTACTATGCTGTCCAATGTGATTTCCTGCAAATCAAATCGCATTTCTCTACTTATCAGTACAACATGTACAATCTTCTCGTATATATCTTGGTCTTCGTTCCCGTCGTGTGTCAATGAAGTCAGATGTAGACTCCGAGATCTATACCCGGCGATTACTGTTAGCTATAATCCGTAGAATATAAGACTCTCGCGCTGCTGGGCCATGGAGTCACTGCTTCCATCATCCAGCACCCTCCACTCAGTAATGAGCACCAAGTATTCCGCCAACTGCCAAAGTTCGAGTTAAGGGATCAAGTCCAATAGCAACACTGCAATGGCTCACCTGCACAAATAAGACATGATCATTC